AAACTTTACCAAATCAGGCAATGGGTCAGATTTGTCCCATGGCCGGAGCTTGCTGGATCTTGTCATGGAATATCCCCAGCGCTTCATAGTGCTCCCTTGTACCCTTTCATAATCAAAAAGTCACCCTCCCCACCATCCAGAGGAAACTACTATTTTGACATCTGTTGTCAATATTTTTTTTTCCTGTTCTTAGACTTGGTGTAAATGGAATGATTCTGTACATACTCCTTTGTGTCTTGTTTTTTTTCCACTCAACATCATGAGTGTGCGATTCATTCATAGCAATGTTTCATTTATATTTGTTATCATTGCCTTGTAGGATTCCACTGTGTGATTCTACTGTAATTTTTTTTACTCCATTTTCCTGTTGATGAAAATTTGGACGGTTTTCAATCTGGGCCCATTTTGAATACTCCTAGAGGTGAAAAAAATTCTTCAGTTCCTTCTGAGGGGCCTACAACAAGGCGAACAAAACTCTGGATAATGTCTTGATTGGTTAGCATGTTGACTAAGTTAATAAATTGCCCTGGTGAATTCTTTGAAAACACATACCTGAATAGATGCAGGGTTCGAGTCCCCTCCCACCTTTCCGTATTCTTGTCTAGAAAAAGTAAGGATATTTTTTCAGTGACCATTTAATGAGTGCCTGCTTCAAGGTGCAAGGCAATGGATTTGGAACCCGAAGGCCCACTCTATCACCCGGGAGATCCAAACCTTTAGTTGTAGTAGGTGACCTTTCTGAACCACTGTCCTCACCTGTGAAGTGGTGGAGTCCAATATGTGAGAAGAAAAATGCGGGTGAACTGTAAATGGCTATTCACATGTGAGACAGTGGCATTCTTGCACATAGATATAAAAATAGTAGTCTCTGTCCTCAAAGAGGACCCAGTGCAGTAAAAATAACCACCACAAAGTGTGATATGTGATCATGTCAAACAATCCACCCTGAGGAGGCTTTGCGCTTGGACCAGCCACAGTGCAGTGGGGGTGATGAGAATGGCTGGGCCACCAGGGTTTGCTGACGGACTGAACACAGGGTGTGAGAGGAAAGAATCAAGGATGAGTCCAGGGCGTTTTGCCTGAACCACGAGACCAATAGAGTTGCCACGGACTGGAGTGGGAAGACTGGAAGGAAGAGGCTTATTCTGAGCTGTACTGTGTGGACAGACAAGGTTTCCTTAAGAATGAGCCACAACAAATTCTGAAAGGAAAGTCCATCTCCTACAAAGAGGAGCTGGGGAGAACTCTGGGGAGTCAGTTAACCAAAGCTAAGGATGTAGGGAAAATAAACAAAACCGCATGAATAATGGTGGCAGGTCTTGTGGACCAGCTGACAACATGGCGGCTGTCCTGTGTGCTCAGGGAGACAGCTGGAGGTTTTCGAGCCATGGGACCTTACAGCCTTGGGAACAAGTCAGTGAGGGTTTAGGGACTCTGAACCTCTTCTTCCGGCCAGTTTGCTCAGTGAGTTAGTCTTTGAGAGGTACCCAAAAGTACTGTTGAAACTACCTTGAAAACTGAAACAAGTAACTGCTGTTGTGTTAATTCCCATATAGCCCATGTTGGCCCTGTAAGCCACGGCAGGAGTTGTTTTGGGGTATTTTATTGTGGCTGTAGGAACTGAAGTGGGGAGGCCATGCTTAGAATTACAGAAGCACTCCTTTCGTCAAATAATTCAAGAAACGAGGGTGTCCACGGAAAGCCAAGCATGAGAGAAAATTTAAAGCAAAATAATACATAAACCATGATGTCCAAAGACCTGGGTGTGGCTCTTACCGAAGCCGCACAATCAGGGCACTATCTTGGGCAGGTTACCCACGGAGCTCAGCGCCGCATTCACCTACAAAGCCAAGGTGGTTGTCCCTTCTCGACCTTCCTTCCAGGGCTGCATTGAAAGTACAATATGAAGCCGTAACTCAAACCCTCTTACCTGCTGCAGTGCACTAATCAGTTCGCTTGTCAGAGCACTGAATTAGGGCAGCAGGCCTGCTCTCCTTTGAGCCCCCTGCTCATTCCCTTCCTAGCCAGCCAGTCTGTTTCCAGACTCTTGAATCGGCGGCTTGCGATTCTGCAGGTCGCTGTGAGCACAGGGCTGGGAGCGGCAGAGCGAAGAGCGTAAGCCCGGGGCTCATCCTGGAGGGAGGCGCTGGGGCAGCAGCGGCTTCCTTTCTGCAAATGGAACCTGGCAGTTTAATCTGAGGTTCTTGCCTTTAGGATTCTCTTCTGAGACCCCTGAGGGGGTCCCAGGGCACCTTTTCTTTCCAAGCTGTATGCCAATCATGGCCAATTATCTATCTCTGTGAAATGTGAGGAGCTGGCTTTGACATCTTGGAAAGTGGGGGATGATTCTCTTCTTTCTGTTTTGGGGGTGCCTGTCGTACCCTCAGGCAGGCCCGCAGCAGCCCTGAATCGCCCCCGGAGGACCCACAGCCGCCCTGGCCTCGGTGGCTCCCCATTTCAGAAGAGGCCTGAGGGCAGAGCTGGGCCTTTTTATTGTCTTCACTCCTGGGCTTCTCTAGGCCTTGAGGAAGAACCTTCTGGAAGCAGACACATCTGCCTGTGGCAGTGTATGCATAGTAATCACCATCCTCTCTAGCAAGTTACCCAGTGCCTCATAATTGAAAAGGAAAACACTAAAGCATTTTAATAAACATTTAGGGGTTTATAGGAAGGGGTGGTTGATAGTTAAGAGCACGAAATTTGGCCTCAAATGAAACTGAGTTCAAATCTCAGCTCTGCCATTTTATGGAAGAGGGGCGACCTTGGACCAGCCGCTCGCTTCACTGTGTCAGCCTCATTTCCCTTGTCTGTGACGTGGACACAACAACTCCTGCCCCGTAGGATTACTGTGTGGATCATGCAACCCATGTAGATGATTCCAGCTGTGCTTGCTACATGGTAGATGATCAAGAGATAATGTTTTGAAAATGAAAGGTAGGCAGGAACTGAAGTCATGCTCCCCCTACCTCCAAATTAGCTGAAATGCAGGACCATGGGTAGATTCAAACTGTGCTAGAGAATCAAGTGGTCAGCTGACTCTGGACTTGTCCGTGTGACTCACTTTGGCTAACAGAACAAAGGCAAACACGGCAACGTAAACCGAGACTTGGAAACCACTCCTGCATTACTGCTTGCTCTCTCCTGTGGCTCGTGGAGCCACATCCAGCAGCAGCCCTGTGAACAAGCCTGGAGGATCCTGCTGGAGGGCAGGAGACACAGGAAGAGAGGAGCTGTCTCAGCAGAGGGCACCCTAAATCAGCCAGCTCCCCGCTGGCTGGGCAGCTGGTGTAATACACGTGGGTGAGCCCAGCCGAGACAAGCGAAGAACCAGGAGCTGAGCCCAGCCCAGATCGCCAACCCCTGGAATCATGAGCTGAATAAGTAGTTGTGTTCAGCCAGGAAGTTTGGGGTGACTTATAATGTAGCTATAGATTCTTTATACACCAAGTCTTCAGAGACAGAGTTTTAGTGAAACCCCAGAAAGGATGAATTTGGGTTTTCCCCTCCTTGGGTCCAGGAACACAAGGCGTCCTTATGTCTGCTGATCAGAACTTTGCTGACCCAGCAACCTGGGCCTCACTGGGACACAGAGGAGTGCATCCACGACCTCAGGTGGAAACCTTTGCCTGGGAGGTTGAATAACAACCTCCCAGTGTCCAGCTGGAGCCCATGTATAGCCCACGAAGTGTTATAAAGCCTCACTCATCAGTTGCAGCTTGAAATAGACATCCTAGATAGAACGATTGATTGGCGCTGAGCTGAGTATAATCGATAAAGCACAGCTCACAGGAGAGCGTCATTTTAGACTTAATTAGGGGTGGCTTGGCTGTTATACAGAGGCTATTTAGAGTCAGTAAATGAGTTCAATTTGATTTTTTATTTTCAGCCTAGAAAGTTGGGCTCTGTCCTTGTTCACCTCCCAGAACTGGGGAAGAGACTTTAAGATTAAGTACATGAGACTGAATTTACCCTCTGAAAGGTGATCTCAGGGAAGCTGAAAGGACAGTGAGGCTGAAAGGAACTGGAGAGTGAGCTGTGGTTGGGTCACTCCCAGGGGCACTCAGGGATGGGTGATCAGAAACTAGGCAGGACTCCTCACCTGGCAGCCTCTTCTGATCTGGACCATTTTCTGAGCACTGTGACCAGCACAGTTCCCACAGGAGAGGAGGGAAAGTTTGCACGTGCTAAGTGCCATCAGCTTTCTCTTGCCCAGGCTTGGTGGGAGGCTGAGGAGCAATGCCACTTTACCCTCACAGTGTGAGCATGCAGTCCTGACGACCACCACCACCACCTGCTGAAGAGGCATGAACACTGGCTCTGTCACTTATTAACTCCTACCCTTGGGCAGACTTTTTAACCTCTCTGCCCCTTGATGTTTTCCTCTCCCCTCTGCAGGAACATTTCCCGAGCACTCCTTATGAACTCCACTTTTTGTTAGGTTCTTGGGGAGATAAAAATATAGTTAAATTATGATCTGGTTCTTGTCTTGGGGGTTCTTTGAGCATGGCTGGGAAGCCGAAGTGGGGTGGGCACAGGTGGGGCCCTGGGAGGAAAAAGAACTGTGTGGGATGGAGAGATGGTAAGAGTAGAGAAGTCAGGACTCCATAAGCTGTGGGAGCCTCCAAGCTGAGGGAGGTGTTAGGCAGAAACCAGCTCCGAAGAAGGCCAGTTAAGCAGGAGATGGGAAAGGAGCAGTGTAGACTCCGGCTGGAATTGCAGGGTGTGTTCAGGGGAAGTAAGAAGACCAGCCTTGCAGAGCAAAGTACTTGGATTGGCAGTGGTGTGTGGCACACAGGACTCACTGGGTCATTTTAGGAGGGTGTGTGAAAGTATAAGCCATGAACTGCATTCTTCCTCTTTCTTGCTTAGGTTGCCCTCAGTGTGATGACCCAGAAGGAGCGTTGTTTTGTTTGCTTTGATAAAATCTTCAAAAGGAAAGGTGATGACAAAGTTGTTCCCAGGAGAGATGTTCTCCTTTCTTCTTTCATTTTTTAAATCATACTTGTAGCAAGTGTTACTATCAAACTCCAATCATGGGGCCAGAGACCCTTGCAGTGTTAATGAGAAACTCGCCCCTCGTGTTGGGGTACCACACTATCCCCACTTGTCAGTTCATCGGCCAAACAGTGGCCTCAACTTCAAGCTCTAACCATGAGCGGAGGTGTTCTCTTTTCTTAAGGGATTAATCAGAAAGTGGTCGGAAACACATTGCCGACCATGCGGACTGCAGGAGGCAGTGTCCATTAGAACGCAGAACCTGTCCTCAAAGACAGAGCTGTTCTCCAAGAGACAGGCTGGGAGCTTTATCAGGTGACTCTCCTTCCGACCTCTGACACTTGTAGGGTGCCTTCCCCAAGTTTGCACTTCCTGCCGGTTCTCTGAAGAAATGTCAAGGACAAAATGTTTTCTTTTCTTTCAGGTTTTGGAGTCTGCGTTCTTTTGGGTGGGGGGTGCTGTATCGTCTTTATTAATGTGGGGTGGCCATCTGTTCTACCTCCATGCAAACGTACCAGGGGAGAACTGGTCTGGACACATCAGACTCAAGACATTTCCAAACAAGTTTTGGCTAGCAGGTGGGAACCACTCAAAAGCTGTGCTTGAATCCAACGCGGTGTAGCTGTCAGCATGAGAGGTGCATCGGGGATACGCTCTTGCTTAATAATTCCCATAACACTTCTTTACAGCTCTGATGTTGGTGTTTGAGAACAAACATTAAAAAAGTACTTTGGAGCAAAAGTGACACTTTAAGTATCGGAGTGATGATGGCCGTGGTTCTAAGCCACCAGGACTGAAAGTCCACATTGCCAAATACTCAGAAGTCACGTGAAGACTCCAGGACAAGGCAAGGCTGATTGACAGGTGTGAGTGGATGAGGATACTGCCCTGCCTTCCTCCAATTTTCCTATCAATTGGTCAATAACAGGTTGGTCATAGCATATAAAACTTGAAAAAGGCGGACATAACTTACAGAATTAGAAAAAGAAAAGGAAAAAGTATTCATGGCCACCTGGGCAGAAGCTTCGCTCCAAGAGTCTGACTGTCTCATTTTTTCATAAAAAAGATGAGAATAAATATTGATTCCAAAGAATTCTGGGTTCCCATTTTGAAAGAAGAACAGTTTCTTCTTTTCTCAGGATTATTGAAGAGGCTATTAATACACAAAAGTAGGCTCTCCAGATCCCTTCTGTCCCTTGTCCTCCCAAACCGGCTGAAAAGAGGAAGACAGTGGACAAACCAGACAGTGGAGGCAAGGGTGGGGGCTGCGTCCTCCCACTGGTCCTCATGTGCACCCCACCCTTCCATCCCCAAGACCTCCTGCAGGCACCTGACTAAAGAAAATAGAACAAGCCTCGCGTATGTGATTTTGCGTTTTTAATTTAGTGAGTCTATTTGAAACCACAACTAGAGGCCAGACTCTGGCTTGGTCATAGTGGTAACTATTTTTTTTCTTAAAATAAGTCAAAAGCAATTGGCCAAGGAAAATCTGCCAATTCACGGATCACACCTCTACTGGCCTGAGCCCTGAGAAAATGCTTCCCCCGGACAAAGCAGTGGGCTTTCCCTGCAGGCAGGTCATGAGCAAGCCTGAGAACAAGATGCCGGTCAGCGGCTCACGTCCCCTCCCCCTCACTAAATTTGTTTTCCCTTCTGACATCTCAATAGGAAAGTGGTGAATTTATCATTCTATGTAAGAACCATGAAGATATTCAAACTCTTTGCCTCGGGAATTTTATTTTTAAAAATATTTTCTAAGTAAATAATTCTAAATATTGAAAACGTGGCATGCATGGGTGATGGTCCTCAAACTTTATTGATGGGAAAGCAATTTGCAAATAATTTAAATGGCCAACAAAAGAGAAATAGTTCATAGCACGTCCACCTGAGGGAATGTTATGGAAAGTGAAAGTGTGTTTATTTGTATCATAAGAACATTTTTTGTATTATAATGATGATTTAAAAGTGGAATACCAAATACTGGCAGGAAACAAACAAAAAAGAAGGCTATAGAAAAGCCTAATGCACGCGTTGTTGTTATTCTGGGGCTAATGGGATTATGAGTGAGTGTTTTTTCCTTCTGCCATTTCCTTTTCCTTTCATTTTTCTTCCATAATCATGCATGCCTTTTAACTAGAAATAACATTTTTATGAAAAATGTTTAAGAAGTAGGAAGAATAAAACTCCCTCTGAAATTATCTTTATTCCTTTACTCAGGAAAAGAACTGCCATTGTTACGTCCTTTTTCTGGGGTGGTTATGTATCAATCTTTTCCTGGTTAGGGTGTGATTTCTTTCCTTCTGGGCCCCTGGCTGCTTTGAGCTATGAAAATCCAAGGATTGTGACCAAGAACTCAAACAAGTTTCTCCTTCTTAAGTTGGCTGCGTGGTTTTTTCTTGAACTGCCTGTTTATTCTAGAACACACCGAGATCTCTGGGAGCTCTGGAAAGTGCTGTGAAAGGGTGAAGTAAGGAACTGCTATTCAATCCATCTGACTTGGACAAACATTCATGAAGTAGCTCGCCCTCACAGCAGAGCTGTACAAGGATGGTTTCTGGGGACTAATGCATAGTACAAAAGGCGTGCGGCCGACCCCTGGCTCTGTCACCAGGTAGAATGTCAGCATCCTTAGAGACGAAGAGATGAGTTTTATTTAAGGGTCCGGGGACATGGAAAACCGTCCCAGAGGGTGAAGTGCAGAACTAACCCCAAGATCAGTCCAGCACAAGCAGAAGGCCGTGTGCCCAGGAGCCTGGGAAGAGAGAGGTTGAGGCCACAGTGGGGGAGTCCTCGAGTGTCTGGGTGGGAGCCTGGACTTTATTTGTAGGTCGTGGAGAGTGAGTTTTGAAGCAGAGGTGTCACAGAGTTTCACCTCCTCTTAGGAAGTTAACTGGTGCAGAGATTCTAGTCTGGTGACCCTCAGGCTGGATGGGATCAGCAGGAAGGGTTGGCTTGGTTCCAAGATATTTTGTCTTTAATGTTTTCAAGACAGAGATTTAACATTATAAAAATAATTCAGATTTCACACTTTTCTTTTAGGAAAAAAATAAAAAAGGAAGGAGATTTGTGAGTACCAGGCCACACTTCTCTAGTTTTTTTTTTACAATCCTTGCTCCCTACTCTTGTGTATTTTGTCACTGCTGTGGGCTGTCTTGCTGGGGACATTGGCTGGGAGAGCCATGGAGGAGCCACTGCTGTGCTTTTCACTATGCCAGCCATAAACGTTTGTATCTATTTAAATTAAAATTAAAAATTTAAATTTAAAAACTCAATTTCCCAGTCACACAAGCCACATTTCTGGTGCTCACTGGTCATATGGGGTTCGTGGCTGCCACATTGGACGGGGCGGACACAGAACATTGCCAACATCACAGAAGTTCTAATTGGACAGCGCTGGTATTGGGGTGAACTGGGACGCCCCCGCAGCAGTCCAGGGGAGGAACAGCAAGGGCCCTAAAATAGGCAGTGGTGATGGAAATGGAGCAGGTTGGCGCTCCTCTCTAGAGCGCTATTTTGGTTAGCGTCTCGCTGACACAATTAGACTGAAGTCTGCTGCAGAGTGCATTTTGTCAAGTGCTTGAAAGTACATTTTTGTTGCTTGTGGGACAACGCTTGACAAGTGCTCCAGGAGTACGTACTGTGTGTATTCAACACCACAGATCATTTTCACCCTCAGTTGGTGTCTCTGAAATACTTACTTTTTGGTGTCTGAGAAGCCAGAAGAGCTAAGTGCTGTAAATGCTCATGAAAGCACCACATGGGAAGGATTTTGAGTGCTGCTGGAGATGCTGCTTCAAATATCAGCAGCATTATTATTCTCAAAAATAGTAGCAAGAGGCTTCTATTTGTGACCTCCATCTATTAAGATTCCAGGCAGAGGGAGCTTGCTGGTAATGACAAGAGCAGTTCTGCCGGATTTATCATCCCCAGTCCTGATTCCTCACGTGTGCTGCTGTGAGGCTCAAGGACCTGAGGATACAGGATTCTCGCCAGAGTGCATGTCGCTTCCCAGCACTCAGAGATATGCCAGCGCCAGCAGAAGAACCAAGGGCCTCTCAGCTTGACCCTGCTGAGTTCCTCTATAGGAATCGCAGTCTGGGCACAGCCTGGTAAGTGAGAGGTGGTGCCCTTTAAGTTGGCTGATGCAAATAAATGTCAGGAGTTGTGTGCTGGATGAAGAATGGACAAAAAGGATGCTTTTGAGAGTCACTGAATTCCAAAACAGGAGAGCTAGCAAATAATTACGGTACTCCTAGGGGATCAGACTCCTCATCCTTTCATGTGACTCTCTGCAGGGCCAGTGGTATCCTCTTGTGAACCTTTCCAAGTAAAACACCCAGGGACTCAGCTCTCTGAATCTTCTTTGTTGGGGAAGAATGAACTCCATTCTTCGGCCTAGTGAACCTTCTTTCAGTGGATAAGATGATTATTATTTTTGCATAAACAATATTCATCACAAAAGCTTGAAAATATTTTCTTTTTTTGAAGAAAATAATTTTATTCTCCCAATGATTTTGCACATCTTGGTCTCCCTTCATTAGGAAAAATGCCTAGAAACATCGATCATAGCTTATGGATTCTCCCTCACTCTTACGTCCAATAGGGAACATGACATTTAAAATGTTATTTCAAAGTTTTAATAGTTAAAGTTTTATTGAAGTAGAGTATGCTTCCAGAAATGTGCACCAATGGTAAATGTCTAGATCGATTAATTATCACAAAATGATGACACTGGCGTATCTGACACCCAGGTCAAGACGAGGAGCGTGATCAGCTCTGCAGAAGCCCCCCATAGTCCATCCCATTACTGTCCCTCCCTCATCTCTCCCTGAAGATGACTATTATCCAGAAATATAACATCATGATTTGTTTTACTTGTTTTATTATATATCATATGATATGTACTTTTTTTTGTGGTTGGCTTTTCTCAGTTCACGGTATGTTTGTGAGATTCACGTGTATCATTATATAGAACATTCATTTTCATCACTGTGGGGTATGTTATTGCATGAATGTAATAATTACTTACCCATCTCACTGTTTACAGACATTTGGGTTCTTACCAGTTATGCTATTACAAACAATGCTGCTGTGAGCATTCTTGTATGTGTTCTTTCGTTCATGTGGAATCACTGGGTCATGGGGTAAATCTATGCTCAACTTTA